TAAAATTTAATTTATTGTGATTTGAAAGCAAATTTTTTTGCATCATTACTCCAGTCACACGATTCTGATATTCTGATTTGATTAAATATTGATAATAATAATAATAATAATTAAAGGTTTCTTGAGCAGCAAATCAGCATATTATAAGGATTAAAGAAGGATGTGACACTGAAGACTGGAGTAATGATGCTGAAAATTCAGCTTTGATCACAGCAATCATTTGAAAATATATTCAAATAGAAAGCAGTTATTTTAAATAGTAAAAATATTTTACAACATTACTGCTTGTGCTGTACTTTAAATCAAATAAATGCAGGCTTGGTGAGCAGAAGGGACTTCTTTATAAAACATTAAAAATCTTACTGTTCAAAAACTGATGACTGGTAGGTTATATAGATTACAGAAATGTTATATTTTAATGCTATATATATATATATATATATATACCCAGCAAGCAATTTTGCGTTTAAAAGACGTCTATTAGCCGTCTAAATACAGCCCAGACGTCTAGGCTAAAACAAGGCTAAATTTGGGCTGTCAGTGAAAATTTAATAGATGTCTAATCATAGCCCAAGAATAGACTAGTCATCAATTAGACCGCTATTAAACGACTACATATATACGTCTAATAGACGGTGAATATGGGTCTAGGCTAAAACAAGGCTAAATTTGGGCTGTCAGTGAAAATTGAATAGGCGTCTAACCATAGCCCAAGAATAGACTAGTCATCAAATAGACAGCTAATAAAAGCCTACATATACATCTAATAGTCAGCAAAATCGCAATCCATCCAAACAAATTAAATATACAGCTTTTATTAAGAAAAATAACATTTTTAACAACTTGGACAACTTAAGACAATACAAAATGATAAAAATACAAAAGAGTTAATGACAATAAAATTGTATAAATACAATACACTTAAATATAAATATGATTAAAAAATCTGGAATTTTTTAACAACTTAAGATAATAAAAATATAAAAAATAAAATATTTTAAATAAATTAAGATATTAAATAAAAAAAATCTAATACAAATCAAGAGCATGTTATCACACTTAACATTAAAACATTACGGATAAATTACAACATAAAAAAAGATTAACCCTTGTTTGTTTATTTATTTTAACAAATAAAACAACCAACAGTGAACTTAAAGGAAATTATTAATTATTGGTTTTATTTCTTGT